CTCACAGTTGCTTTGCTTCGGTGCCCGCCGGTGGCTGATTCTACCCATCACCAATGGTACTCCTTCCATGGTTTTGAGCCACAGGGCTGCGAGAGCAAAGCACAGTTGGACTCATTTCCAAGGGGAACGAATCGAGGAACCAGAGAAGTTTTAGATCCTCTAGTCCCACCTTCCCCCACCTAGTGCGCTCCAAGAACACACTACAGCACCTATAATCCCCAGCAGGAGTGCCTGGGGACTCCGATGTCCATGGTGTTCCATATCCATTTCAGCTTTTATGCTGCAATTTATCGGGGCTCCCCATGTTGTTCCATGGCGATGAACCTATTTGGGGTTATCATTCGTTTCCTATAAATCCAGAAACAAAGAGAAACTCCAGTGATGGGGTCAAGGGAGGCTGGGGAAGGAGGTGGGGAGGGGAATTATCCAGATAACTGGGGAAGTGTTGCATCAGAGCTTTGATGTTGTGTTGTAAGAGTGTCCAGTTTATTGTGGATGAGAGAACAAAGTCTGGTAAGCCTTGTTTACTTGTTTATGATGAGTAATGTTTCCGATGCCTTTGAGATTGATGGTAAATTTGGACCTCTTTAATTTTAGTGCGCAGCCTCAATATGGAATCTAGCCGAGGTACTGTAGCCCATTTACCATTTTGCTACTATACCCATTTGTCTCGAATGATGTACAGAAAGTTGTTGCCTTGCTTTGACTAGTTTTTAATTGTCCATTCTCATGACCTACAGAAACTTGTCTCCATTGACTATCATCAGCTGTTTCATTCTAACAGAAAAATATAAAGTAGCATAAACTCAAAAATCATTTTGATTTTCAGAATTGATGAGAGTGCTTGGCTATGCCATTCAGTCTTACAAGCACATTGATATCTGTGGTGCTTAGATATGAATGATAAATATTACGATAAGATCTCAACATGCTTTGGTACCTTTTCATTGAGCTAATGTAATTGTAGTCTGGTTTCAAGCAGACAGTGGCCTGGTTCACACGACATTCTAGGCTCCCCATGGGTTAACTCATGAGGAGACACAGCATGTATACAAAGGCAGCCGCCATTTTGAATATGCAATCCTGAAATAGGGTTGTGATGTATTGTCCAAACCCAGCCAGCATGAGTTATTCAAGGGTTTAACAACCCATGGCGAGCCCCTACCTCCTGCCTCCTCCTAGATCCATTGCAGGCGTAATACTGTAAAAACATGTATTACCACAGTGAGATCTTTGTACTACAAACTGGGAACCAGTCTAGCAATGTGATCTCCTCCCCTTTCATGAGAAAATGCATTCCTTTGTTTCCCTGCTTATTTAACCATGTTTAAGTGCAGCCGTAAGAAACATCCCTTCTCAACCAGCATTAGAAACCAGGGACTGAAGTGGTTTTGCAAACCCTGATCAAGAAGGAACCTAGTTAAGGTAAACCCTGTTTGGTGATGTTGTGGTAATGTTTAACATGGTTAGGCATTAAACACACATCTTCACCATCCATGGCCCTAACCAGGTCTCTTCTTGATTAGGGGTTCCATGCCCATTCCAAATAGGAGTATTGTGGGAGAGATTCATTTCACTGACTGCGAGGGGGGCAGGTTCTGATTTGCAAACCATGGTTTGTAGGACATCAAAATTATGCTGCCCTGGACCGTTCAGTTAAAATGTTGGTACATTCTTGAGTTGATATTCCTATCAGGTAGGCATAGAGAAAGAAGAAAAAGCAAGCAATGTTTTAGGTTCATAAATTGATTTCCATAAAACAAACACCCTGACTGTCAAACGTATTCTGTGTTTTGCTCATTGACCACAGGGGCAAGGATATTTAAAAAACTTTTAAAAATAACCCAGGCTTGCTGCAAGTTTCATGCCTACAGCTCTATAATGACAATGTGCTTCTGTATATTTAGATTTGCTTCATTTGGAAACATTTTAAAGTTGTAGCAATCATTATAATGTTTGCAAGAAATTGAGTGGAACATGCTGCTTTTTATTTTATTTCTTTGAAAGCCACGTTTCAAACAAGGTCAGGCTAAAAGAGCTCAAAATAAATGCACTTCCAAAGTCATTAGAGATTGCAAGCAAAATGAGGTTAAGTTGTTAGCTAAGCTCCAGTATGTCACAGTTTTGCTATAAAAAGCACCCTGAACATGCATTATTTTACAGCCTTTTTCTTTAAGGCCAACTGCATCAGTCTGGTGAGGTCCAGATGTGTTGGACTGCACCTTCTATCATCCCCAAATTTTAAGGCATCCTGAAATTTCAAAGCAAATTAAAGCAATTGTAATGTGAAACCAATTGCTCTCTGTGACCAGATGTGGTACAAAATACCCCACCTTCTTCCCCACCAGGCCCTCTCAGCTGCTGTCTTCTCCAACATAGGCCAGGAATGTGGTTCTATCTCATGCATGCACTATCTTTTTGTGTGGAGTGTGTCCTAGTTTCACCCACTTGTTTTGGAGGTGCCCATTCTCTCTGCTTCTGTTTCAGTGGGAAGGTTAGTTAGTTCACGTGTTGCATTAGTCCAGTGTTCAGTGCTATTACCTCTTTCACAAAGTGGTTGTGCAGAATCTGTGATGATCAGTTGCCATGCAGTCATTGACTGTTTCCATTCCACACGGTTAGCAAACGGGAGGCCCAGCTCGACGCTGAAGGCTGCCATGGGTTGTTTCTCAGTGGTCCTCCGAGCATTAGCAAGTGTCTTTTCTCAATTTCATGCAAATCACATTTGCAGCAGGGTTCAGTGAAAGGCATTCCAGCTTTTTGTTTTGTTCCACTTCTTTTTGTCTTTTTTAAGCAGAGTCCTTTTCTGCAGCACAACTTGGACCTCCCAACAACAGTCTTAGCTCCCACAGAACTTGCTCTCCCCTCTGTTTAGCTTTACTGAAGCACCCCATATCTGAACAATGGCAAAATCAAGCAAAATGTTTAAAGTCAGATGCTTTCCGCCAGCCAAGGGTTATAGATGGAATGTTTCTTTTATCCAGAACGTGGCAAGGATTAAATCAATGTGATGTTCATTCATTGGAAGGTTTACCCATCCGGTGTGGCCAAATGAATTCTGGGGGTGGGTGGACTATACTGCCCATAGCAATCAAGATTCGTATTAGGTGACTTTACAGAAATGTCCTCTCCCAGTGACCACTTTGGTGGTTTTCTGGCTTTTGCAATCCCCCCTTTCTAAAAGGTTGCATATACCTCCCCTAAGGGTTCGTTTCTGTGAGTAAGAGCTTCAAACTGAAGTATGTTGTTATTCATGGTGGTTTGCAGCCATCTGTTTTGCCTCTGCATCCCTTCTCCGCTGGAAACTCAGTTTTTCACAATTGGATGTGGCCCTTGGGCTGAAATGAGTTCTGCTCCGCATCTCACATGCTGGAAGCACATATGAGCAAAAGTGGGCTGCTGGCTAGTTGTGGCCCCCCCACTCCCATGATCTATGCTCTTGCCATGCCCTTGCAGGCTGTGCATTTGTCCGCCGCATGGGAAACAAGAAAACGTAGCACCACTTCTTAATGTGATGCAGCTGCTGTACCAACTGATCTAATGCTGTCATGGCTGAGAGATGGTTGGTCTTCTTATCACAACCTGCTGGAAGGGATGCCGTTCCAAAAGAGAAGCCAAACGTTGCTGGCCTCTGGGCTAAGCTGATGGAGCGGTCCTGCTTCGTGGGTCTCCGCCTTCTATACCCCACTGGAGTGGGCTATAGAAGTTTATACGTGCATAGGACTGCTTGGGGAAAGCCCAGAGCAGCCTTGATACAGGGCTCACCCGCCATCCTGTGACTCCCCTGTTCACTTACATAGACCAAGCAGTTCTCCTTGCCTGTGTTTATGGCTCCCACCATTGAGTGGAATGAAGCAGTGCATACCTGGAGCAGGTTCCTGTGCACAGCTGAGCATACGGGGATGCCCAGATCAGAGAATCGCACCTTTACACTCTTCTAAGTGTGGAGCTTTACACGGTCAGTGCAAACCATCAGTTTTGGAATGGTAAATATCATTAAATTTGGGTCATTTTAAAAAGGATATTTCATTTTGAGCAAAACATCTCGATCTCATCTCCTCCCCTGCCTTCCCCTCACCTTATCGCAGAATTGATTGGTTATGACTCTGGCATTATTTAAAATACAGCCATAAGTACACCGTAATTTATGCATGTTCCTCTCACCCTTTATAACCTCCTAATCTGCAGTCGTGCTCTGTATTTGTTCACACTGCATGAGGAGGTAAGACCTTGTTCTCCCCTTATATTACAGGAAGTGCCAGCAGCCAAAGAGAGAATCCGTGGCTTCCAGTTTGGCTGCTTGGGCTTCTTTAGACGCACCCAAAGACACCGGAGCCCTGCCAGGCAGCTGTGGCGAAGCAGAGCTTGGAGAAGCGGAAGCCCGCTTCTGCACATGGCAAAGTTGTCACTTTGGCGCTCGCAGTGATGCCTTGGGATGCTTTCCCATCTCTTGCTGCGTCATTGACCAATATCTAATCCGGCATAATTTAGTCATCAAACCATGTGTGCACTAACGAAGCAAATAGCCTTTTTATTGTGACCTTAAATCCCTTTAAATACCTAAACTTCATAAACTGCTGGGAAGGGCTCCGCAAACGGAAGGTCAGCCTACAAAAGACTTTCTTGCTTTCCAATCCTGTTGCTTGGAAGGATGGGTGAACCACCCCAATGGCGCTTCCTTTTTCCTCACCCGAATTCGGTTTCCCCCCCTTTCCCCTTGCGGCTCTCCTTTTCCCTTTCCCTCTCTCTTCCACCCCCACCCCCATTCTGTGGTCAAATTAGCAAGCCAACTTTGCTAAGCCAAATAAATTAGGGAAGCGGGGTTTTCCGTTTTGGTTTTTTGTTGGTTCTTTTCTTTTGCTTTTTTTAATTTTATGTACTACGGAGAACAGTGTCGTCTCGTGGCCGTTCTCGTAGACTGTGTTGGTTTAACAAGCGTCCAATCCTTTTGTCTTGTTGTTTTTTTGTCTTTCCTTCTCCCTGTCCCCTTGTTCCCACAGGCTGTGCGTTTGTCACGTTTTCAACAAGGGCAATGGCACAGAATGCGATCAAAGCCATGCACCAGTCTCAGACCATGGAGGTACAGTACTGTATCATTTGCCCTTCCTTTGTTTTCTTTGTGCAAATGATTGAGAATGTCAAGCCATGCTCTCCCGGAGAAGATCAGACGCATGACAATCACAGACTTAAACTTCGCGGATTCCCCACCTTCCCCACACGCAGGCAGACGCCCTCTTCTGTCTCTCCATCTCTGTGACATTTACTTCCCTTAATTGTCTGAGCACATGGAGCAATCCGGCGGCTGGTGCATCACAATGGGTGGCATTCGACAGAAAATGAACCCGGAAAGGCCACTGCCATCTGGTGAAATATACATTTGGCATGTTGCATTGTCCCGTTATTTATTACTTTAACCCCATCCATGCTTTGGTGGCCACCAGTCCTATATTTAAACTAACCAAGAGGCGTGAAAAAGGGAAAATATTCCCCATTTTTCAAACTGCGTTTGAGCTCCCTTTGTTCCAAACAGCCAATTAAAAAATTACAGAATTATATCAAAATGCAATGAATTTCTAGTCTCTCTATGAGAGTACAAACTTCATTGCCATCTTTGGCTTGCATTCATGCATGAATCCAAATATTTACCTATATAAAGGTTATTTTTTCCCCAGTCTGTGATTTTTGTCATAGTCTTTCAGAATTTTGCACAAAAAAGCCTCACAAATCAACTGTGTCTTATTCCGGATCTTCTAATTTAATAATTAGAGAATGCATGTTATACTGTATTATGTACACTGTATCTGTGTATTGATTATTTCCTCTGAAACAGCATTTTGATGTAATGTTTGACTTGTTTCTCCTTTCTTTTATTTCTGTATTCTCGTTTCCTTTGAAATGAGGATAATTTAACTTTCTTGAATAATATTTTCCCTTTGCAATGCTCTAATCTCCCAAAGCATGCTGGGTACTAAAAATCAAACAGACCCTGACATTGTTGTGTCCATGTCATTGAATTGCTTTGTGTAGTGAGCAAAGAAAACTTAAAAACATAAAAGTGCATGGAAATGTCACTGTCTTCTGTATTCCCCAGAAATATTGATAACGGCATTGCAAAGTCTATTGTCTCTCCAATCTCTCCTGCCGTTAGATAAGGTTATTTTGATATTTTATAATCAATATGTTTTTCTTTTCAGTGCTATCCATTTTTAGACATTGAGAATATACATTGTTAGAGGTGACTCTTGCCACAGAAAGGAATCCGAATTATCTTCACTAACGAGTGGCATTTAAATAGAAATACATGTGTGTGCGCGCACACATTCGTGTGAAAATATACATGTATATTCTTTTGTTCCATTTCTAGGGCCTGGATTTTATACGGCTAGCAAGCATATTGTACTGCTTTGAGACAAAAAGGGATGGGTTTCCAATATACTGAGCATTTTGCTCTAAAATAAATTAATTTCCCCAATTCAACCTGATTTTAGTAACAGGAATATATCAGAGCACAGGAGAATGAAAGTTGTTCGATACCACTTTGTTCTTACATCGATTAAGAGGGCATTGAGTAGTGTGGTGGAGCACTTTGAGCCGCTGGCACCCTCCTCTTCCTCTCTTAGACTTGAGAAAGACGTGATCCAAGCTGGCCGGGGAGAACCATTAACTCGCAGCTGGCAGTGGGTTGTTGCATCCAGTCAGCCTGCTCCTGGGATCCTGTCTTTACAAACCTCTAAGGAACACGTGCTTCTTCTGACAATGATTTGGCCTGCAAGATAACCTAGTTGACACCTTTCCTACTTTCGAGAAGACCAAATCTTGTCATGCCACTGATCTCTGGGGATACCCGCTGTGTGAGCAGATATACCAAATTCTGCCCCACGCAATTGATCTGTCAAGAAATGGCCACCCCTTCACGTTAAAGTGTGGTAAGCACTTACCGCCGACTGCTGATAGGTAGCCACAGCGTTAGGAAATATTGGTGGTGGCCCTGATGTGGCCATCAGCTCTGGAACGTAAGGAGATGCTAGCTGTGCTTAGCCATGGTGCAGCGTTCTGTTCTCGCCCTGCAGAGCATTGTCACTAGGGACATTTCCATAATACTTTTTGGCCAGGTTTCCTTGAAGAGTCCCCAGGTGGCTGCGATGAGTTTGACCATGAGGTTCTCCAATCGCATCAGTTTTGGAGTACTTGCACAAAGACTGTCCTTTGAATTTATTTTTCCCAATGCAAAGAAGCTCCTTAATCTGATGCAGACACACCAACCCAGAAAGAAGCATGGAATAGGATTCCACCCCTAAAGGCAGCCCTGAATAATTTGAGACCACCCATAGAGTTGGGAAAGGCCTTGTAGGGCCCTTATCCAGCCCCCTGCTTGATGCAGGCATTCAGAGTTAGAGTTAGGGAATTTCCTAAGCACTTCACAAGGTGCTGGTTCCATGCGCTTTCCATCAAGAAGTTTCTTCTGCTGGCCATTCCAAAACTGTCCTCCTGTAACTTCAAGCCATCCGATCTACTTCTGTTCTCTATAAGAGCAGAGAACAGATTTTTAGGGACGTGGTGAAGCGCCATGGAATCCACCTCTCCAGTGTTCACAGTATTCCTCTTGTGCATGGAAAGTGAGCCAAGCCAAAAGGACGTTCTCAAACTCGTGAGGAGCAAAAGCCGTGCATTTGGCAGCCTTCTCCCACATCGTGCGCAACAGCGCAAAGCGTGCTATACATGGCATGGAAGACGGACGCTGCTTGTGCAGTTTTCACAGGGGGCGCCATTTTGGTGAGCGCTGCCTCAACACCGGATGTGCGCATGAGGAACTCAAAGCTGTATCAAAACGGACCAGAGTGCAGGGGCCGAGCCCAGGGAATCCAGCAGATCCCCACCCCAAAATGTATTTCTCCCACATTCCTACCAATCTTTGCCCTTTTCTTTGTGGCAGCCCTTTGGAAATGTGAAGGGTGCTGGGCAGTATGACTGAGCCATGTTTCAACATTTCTTGCTTCCAGGGTTAACCCTTGAAGGGCTGGTGAGGCATAATGTTCCTTCTTTCCACCTAAAGGGAGAAACACCACTCAAGGAACCACTAGTGGCTTTTTTCTGGTGCTCCCTTCTAACATGTAAAGCTGTCTCAGTTGTATTCTTTCCAATATTTTTTATTTATTTAAAGCTTTTCTAACCCGTCCACCACTGACATATCGGGACAGCTTGCAATAAGAGAACAAATAAAATAAAGCAAAACAAGCACAGCATCCGGCAACTCAAGATATTAAAACCCCAGTTAAAACCAACTACACATTAAAATAATGGGGAAATAAAAAGGGTTTCGCCTGATGCCAAAAACAATAAAGTGTTGGCGCCAGGTGAACTTCTCTGGGGAGCATATTCAAAAGTTGGGGTGCCACCACAGAGAAGGCTCTTCTCCGGGTACTCGCTCTCCTCATCTCCTTCATGGAGGGCTCCCGGAGAGGAACTCTGCCTCAGATCTCAGGGGGCGAGAGGGCACATCGGGAAGAAGGTGCTCCTTCAGGTATCCCGGACCCAAGCTGTTTAGGGCTTCATAGGCCATCACCAGCACCTTAAATTGAGCCCAGACTTCAATTGGCAGCCAGTGTAACCAATAGAGGACTGGCACCTGCCGGTCCCCATTAACATCCTGGCAGCTCTATTCTGAACCAACTGAAGTATCTGGACCGTCTTCAAGGTCAGCCCCACAACAACAATCTAACAACCCCTGTACACATCACTAACCAACCTAGGTGGACTGTTTGTGCAGAAAAGCAGTCTTGCATAATTCCTTGCCATTGGCCAGACTTGCTAGGACCAGTGGGAGCTGTAGTCCCAAAGACACCAGGTTATCTCCTCCTGCAGCCAACGGCACAGGACAGACCCAGCCAGCATACAAAATTCTTGTACACGGCAACATCAGCCTCGTCACACCATTCATGCACAGCACCTTATAGTGACCTGCTCTCAATAAATTCTCAGACTCCTCCAAGATGCCCAAGTAAATGATGCTAAAATTTGACCTAACAAGTTCTGGCAACCTTCCAGCAGGAACCAGACTCTGAAAGTTGAAACAGGCTAAAGGTCTTTTTAATATCTTGTGGTTCCAGCTGGTGAGCTCAAAGGTTTTAGACAAGCCTGGGGGAACCTGGCCAAAATATACCATGTGCCCTTTGTAAGACATGGTGTCTCCTTCTGAATTGCATCTGTGTCTGAATAAATCTATATATTAAGCGATCTTCAGGCGTGTTGTATTTTTCCTGTCACTTTCTTGCTTTGCTACAGACATGGGTGTGATTTCTGAAAGTACACCGATGTCTTTAGAAGGTTTGCACTGAATAGGAAGGTAAAAAGACTGTATTTGACAGAGGCGAAGAATTAATGAGATAGAGACAGAAGAAAACTGAAGAATAATGAAATAAGAAAATGCCCGCTCATCTTAAGATAGTGGGGAAAGAGTATATTGGTTTAGGTCAATATGCTCTTACATTTCCTCCTCCATGGTTATTAATGTCAATGCTATTATGGTAAAGAGTTGACTTTCAACAGCTAATATTAAATCTGGACACTCAACCAGAAACTATAATACCCTTGGGCACTGTGATTTCATGTTTAATGCAAAGAAAATTCTTTTCAAATGGAAGATTATATATTATGCAATCAGGTTTCAATTGAAACAGTGACGTTATTTGCTGCCTTGATTTCATTATTTTCACTTCTTCAGCACATGCCACTAAGACATATTTTTCACGTGAGTGCAAAATCCAAAATGATGAGAAAGAAAATGTTCAGTAGAACAAGTGTCTCCCCAAATTAATGGTTTCTTAGACTGCTATTTAGTTCCCTATGCTTCTGTACATGTATTTGTTACAAATGTGTGATCAACATCACATTTTAACCTCATATACAGATATATATGGATATACATGAGGTTATACTCAAGCATACTTTAGATAGAGGCACTAATTTTCTTTTTTTATTGTGGTACAAATTAGTTTTGACAATAGCAGTTTTTTCCTCATATGAAGCCACTTTGATATGTATGATTTCAATCTTTGTGATGTTTGTTCGCTTGAAATTGCTGCTCTGATGAAATATGAATCAGACAGGGAGAGAAAAATTATAGATTCATAAAATGCTGCAATATTGTTTTATACAATTTACTGCCAGTTAAGCATTCATAAATACAATATCAGCTGCCATGTGGAGCTCAGAGCTGCAAAACCGTAGACCGGGACTGCTGTCTCATATTCCTGTCCTTGAAATTTATTTCTGCTTCTTTTGAAAAAAGATTTTAAGACTTTCATTCATGTGTGTAGTGGGAGCATGCACTAAGCCGCCTTGCTTAGCCTTCTCCCATGAAATCTTACATGAAATAGAATCCAAAATTTTCCTTTTCTATCATGTAAGCTGTGGGGGGACGGGCAGTAATTGCATTAATGTTTAAAATACTTTGGGGAAGCAATGAAAATGCTTTCTAATCTTTACAGACCACACTTCCATCATAGCCATGCAGTCATTTAATTTTTACCTCCCTGTCTCCAGGAAAAGCGTTTTTCCTACAATGAATAAAGCCTCCAAAGGGTTGGGAATTGGACAGCAACTTCTCAAGACAGAGTGCAGTCTACTGCCATTAAACTATGGGTGTTTTTATGCCACACTCCGTGTGATGGGGATCGTAGTCTCCCCACCCCCTGATCAGGATCTGGTATAGCTTTTTATTGTGCAATTTCTGAACAGCCTTCTGCTGTTGCACTCTTCAGAGAAGAGTCGTGCATCATGTGTTTATTTTGCAAACCAGCACAGAACTCCTTCGCATCCATCTCTTGCTCAGTCCCTTGAAAGTAAGCTGGTAAGGGCACGATCCTATAACCCTTTTGGCATTTACAAAGGCCCCCTGTTTGGATGATGCTCATAAGCCTCCGAACTCAGATGTTTACAAGCATCCCATGCAAGGCAGAGCAGCGGAAAGTTTATCCCAGGAGCTGTTTTCTTTGCAGAAAAGCAGCAAACAAATCAAATCAACCCATAGCAAGAAAGCAACTGCTGTCCAAGTTTTTGTACACCTTTACATGAGTCATGTGAAAAATCGAAATAATGCAGGTCCTCCCAGGAGGGGGAACACTCCTCTGGAAAAACGGCTCATGCAAATGTGTGCTAGAATGATTTTTTTTCCCCACCAATCTGTCCAATCGCAGGGCTGTTCTTCACCAATAGTCGTGAAGTTTGCTGATACCCAAAAGGACAAGGAGCAGAGGCGTTTACAACAGCAGTTGGCCCAGCAAATGCAGCAACTCAACACCGCCACCTGGGGGAACCTCACAGGTCTCGGAGGACTTACACCACAGTACCTGGCTGTAAGTAATCATCGCACCTGATTGCAACTTCTTCCAACTGGAATGTACATCGCCTACCTTGGCAGAATCTGTTTTAAGCACCGCAAGCATGGAAAATGCATTTCGTTAAACTGCCATGCAAACTGACAGCAATGAGATAATGGCCATGTCTTAGTAACAGGACAACTGAGCGAAAAGCAAGAAATCGTTTCTGCAGCATCCGTGTTTGTACTTTTTGAAACATGGAATTCTGAATATTTATCTCCTTTATAATCGTATAAGTTTTTAAAACTCTGACATGTTCCTGAAAGTTGACTTTTAGAGGAAATGGAAGGGAACCTTATATATCTACTTACCTAGGACTTATTTCTGTATGCAGAATTGCACTGCAAAAAAATTTAAGCTTTTTAAGCTCTTGATTTCTAGAACACTTCCGTTTGGGCACCTGCACATTTCACATGTCCCCCACGCTAGCCTTTTCATCTGGAAATCTTGCACTCAATTCTGTTCGTAAAGAACAGAGCAGAAAAAGATTAGTAAACTAAAATATGTTTCTTTCACCCTCATGAGCTTCACTTTGCCTCACAGAAAGTGAGCAAATTCCCTTCTCCTGGCTGCACCCTGCCAAAAGATTATCCAACCTTTGTTTGTAAGAAAATGGAAGGGAAGAACTGCTTCTTTGAAAAAATACAGGAGGGAAATTAACTTGCTGACTTTCTGTAATGCAGGGATATTCAGTGACGGATTCATTTGTAAATGCATTGAGAGCATAGTTGACCTGGTTATTTGCATGGGAAGCCTAGTGTTGAGTTAAGCACATAAAACTTTTCAAGTGCACACTTTAAAATTGCAACACGGGAAGCAGGTATTAAAGGTTGTTGTGCCCACCTTTTGAATCACTTTGCCAAAAACCATAAAAGAAAAAGAAGAAACTGCCACTTTTCCTTTTCCCAGTCCAGGGCATATTTCTTTATCCTTTCCTTATAGATTTACTGCCTGGGGTTTATTCTGCATGAAATTGAATGTGTCAGTGCGTGCGTGGAAACTTCAGCCTGCACTAGCAAAAGCCTTCAGCAGGGAGCAAAAGCCAGTCCTGTTCTTAGCAACTGCGGACAAAAGTATTGTTGTATTCAGTATTCAGTCGCAAAGTCATACCTGACTCCGCAACCCCACAGACAACATTCCTCCAGACTCTCCTGTCCTCCACCATCCCCCGGAGTCCATCCAAGCCCACACCCACCTCTCCAGGGACGCCGTCCAGCCACCTCCACCTCTGCCGTCCCCTTCTCCTTTTGCCTTCGATCGTTCCCATTCAAGCATCTGCAGTCAGAAGTATCACAAATAACCAAACTTGCTTGGAAAGGCCATGGCTTAAGTCCCCGAAAGGCCATCGAACTCCACACCTGCTTAGATGGGCCAGGTGATCTGATCTAAGGTGGAACTGATACGGGTTGTGGGGGATGGGAGAGAAAGAGATGCTTCCTTGCAGGGGAGAAGGGACTCGTGGAAGGAAGCGTGTTTACTCCTTCCCAGCTCCATCTATTTATTTATTTAATTTCTATACCACCCAGCCTCCAAAGCTTTCTGGGCAGTTCACAAAGCATATTTGAAAAGCTATAAAATGCATTGTATTAAAAACATATCAGAGCATCATGAAGCACTTGCAGATTTTTAAAGCACATATCAAATGGGTGTGGGTGGGTGTGTATCAAATAGTAAATTAAAGAAGGGAGGGAAAAGCAAGGAGAGGAAAAACTATTCAGATCCATTTAACGGCTACCAGGTCCCAGAAGCTACTTGAATGCCCTGCAATAAAGGATGGTCTTTACCTGTTGCCGAAAAGATAGTAAGGTTGGCACCAGGCAGAGCTCAATGGGCCGCTCATTCCAGAACTGGAGGCCACACTGAAAGGGACCTTCTCCTTGGTGCCCTGAACGAAGCCTCCCATGGGGGTGGCAGATGGAGGTGTCCCCCAGAACTTGATGATCGTGTCCAGGTAGAAGAAAATTGGGAGAGGCATTCCATCAGGTATTGTGTTCACAAGCCTGTAGGGCTTAATAAGTTAAAACAAGCACCTTGAATTAGGCTCAGGAAGGTATAGGCAGCCAGAGCAAGTGGGTCAGAATTGTTATTATGTGATCAGATCATCTGAACCCTGTTATTAGTCTGGCCACTGCATTTCGCATATCCTGCAGCTTCCGAACAGTCTTCCAGGGCAGCCCCATGTAGAGTGCATTGCAGTAGTCTAGCTTAGAGCTTAGCAGAGCTGATAGCAGGCAATCTCTGTCCAGATTTACTTATTATCTAGACTCCAAATCCACAACCACTCCCAATTAAGAGAAAAGTGGCCTAGGAAAACAAATTTGTAGGCGAGAATCAGTGGACATCAAAGAGGCTAAATGACTCCTCCTCCATCCTTACCTGCCTGTGTCCCCCCTGCAAATCCCTGTTCTCTTTCAGATGAGAATGTGAAAATCTTCACTTGTAAGCCTTTTTTCCGACTAAACTTGCAAGAAATTATGCCTGAACTCTCCTTCTCTCCATCTCTCCCTCTGCCACCCCACTCTCTCTCCCTGTGTGCGTGTGGTCGGAGGGCACTGGATGCAATATCAGTGCGAATGAATGGCTCTTGTACACTCATGGAACATAAATATTTTACATAATTGGATGCAAAGTGATGCTGAACATTTCTATGCTGTGAAGTAAAGGTAACATTTTGCCGCAACCAGAGCATGGCTGGAAGGGTCAGGAAAGAGCCTCCTGCCTCCCCCATGTGCTTAGCTGAATGGGGTACCATCGTAGTTTGCACAAACCATGGTTTCCTGCTACATTCAGATCAGCAAACTCTGGTTTGCCTGAACCAGGGAAATTAGCATCAAGCCATGGTTTGGAGGATCAGAAGTGTTACATCAGAATCATCACAGCAAGGCCACTGAGATTTATTTTTATTTATTTATTTATTTATTTAGGAAACTTCTATGCTGCCCCATTCGCCGAAGCCTCGGGGCGGCTCACAAACATAAATAAACTTCCTTAAAATAATATAAATTAACAGTATAAATTAAGTCGCCCTGGCCAAAGAATAAAATGAATAAATACTACTAACAATTAAAATGACATTTGAATAAAAAGGTCTTCTCCTGGCGCCGAAAAACAAATAACGACGGCGCCAGGCGGACCTCTCTGGGGAGCGCATTCCATAGATTGGGTGCCACCGCAGAGAAAGCCCTCCTCCGAGTACCTACCCTCCTAATTTCTTTCTCGGAGGGTTCCCGGAGAAGGGCCTCTCCCGCTGATCTCAGGGGGCGGGCGGGCGTATATGGATGTAAGCGCTCCTTCAGGTAACCAGGACCCAAGCCGTTTAGGGCCTTATAGGTCATCACCAACACCTTGAATTGGGCCTGGACTTCAATGGGAAGCCAGTGAGGCTGACGGAGGACTGGAGTCATGTGACCATAACGCCCAGTCCCCGTCAGCAGCCTGGCAGCTCTATTTTGAACCAGTTGAAGTATCCAGACCGTCTTCAAGGGTAGCCCCACGTAGAGCGCGTTACAGAAGTCAAGGCAGGAAGTCACCAACGCGTGCGTCACTGTTGCCAGGCAGTCGTACTCCAGGTAGGGGCGCAGCTGATGGATCAGCTGAAGCTGAAAGAAAGCGCTCCTCGCCACCGCTGTCACCTGAGCTTCCAGTGAAAGCTCTGGGTCGAGGAGCACTCCCAAGCTGTGGACCTTGTCCCTAAGAGGGAGTGCAACCCCATTCAGGACTAGGTTCAATTCACCCTCCCCGAAGCCCAATCCGCCAACCAACAGGACCTCCATCTTGTCTGGATTGAGCTTCAGTTTATTGGCCCTCATCCAGCCCATTACCTCGGCCAGGCACCGGTTCAGCACAGCCACTGCCTCACCTGGATTGGTGGAAAACGAGAGGTAGAGCTGGGTATCATCAGCGTACTGGTGATTCCGCAGCCCACACCTCCTGATGACCTCTCCCAGCGGTTTCATGTAGACGTTAAACAGCAAAGGGGACAAAATGGATCCCTGCGGTACTCCATGGCATAGCTGCCATGGCGCAGAGCCATAGTCCCCCAGCACCACCTTCTGGAATCGGCCATTGAGATAGGAGCAGAACCACTGCAAAGCAGTGCCTCCGACCCCCAATCCCACTAGCCTATCCAGAAGGATACCATGGTCCATGGTATCGAAAGCCGCTGAGAGGTCCAGAAGAACCAACAGGGACGCACTCCCCCTGTCCTTCTCCCTGCACAGGTCATCGTACAGAACGACCAAGGCAGATTCAGTACCGTACCCGGGTCTGAAGCCGGACTGAAATGGGTCCAGATAATCAGTTTCATCCAAGAGAGCTTGGAGTTGTCCCGCCGCCACCCACTCCAACACCTTGCCCAGAAACGGGATGTTGGCCACTGGTCTATAATTAGTGGCCATCTCTGGATCCAGTGACACTTTCTTCAGGACCGGTTGGACTACCGCCTCCATCTGGCTTTGATATCCCCTGTAGGACAGCACCAGAGGGGCTGCTAGGCCATAGAACCAGAGCAGTGCTCTTGGCCCTGAAAAAAATACCCTGCACTATCCAGTGCATTATGAGCATCTAATATCGTATAACCTGCATCCTCTGCCACTGTATATGAAGCCCTATAAAATACCGAGATTTGTGTCTGCTTCCTTGATTTGCATAGTTTATTGTGAGATGTGAGGAAGGCAAAGAACAACCCCCTAAAACCTGATGCCTTCTATATGTTTTGAACTACAACTCCTAGCATTCTTGACTTTTGCTGGATAAGGCTGATGGGCACCAGGTTGATGAAGGATGTCAAAATATAACAGAATACGGATCTCCAGTATCCATAGCCTGAAGAATTTGTTCAGCCCAACTTCCTTTCTGCTGTCACCATCATCTTCATTATTTCCCTCAGCTTTGATTATACATTACCAGACTCTTCAGTCTTATTCTCTCAGTGTTAAAGACTAGGAACTTGCTTTTTAAACTTCATTTAAGTGCCGGCATCCCATATACATAATCCTCTGTGGAATTAGGACTGTAGGCCATCCTAGAATGGCCCTTGTGCTGGATTGCATTATACTTCTTGCTCCAACATTGGGTTGGAGCAGATGTTCCTTTACAGAGTGAAGGGAACACAGAATGATTTGGCAATATCTTTGTACAAGATAAACTTTTCATTCCCATTTCCCTATTAGTTTAAGGAGCAGTTTCTTGGAGAAAATTGTGTACCTTGAAACCCTCCATAGTCCAGCATCAGAAAACACAGACTCACTGAAAGATGTTGCTTCCCCTTATTCTGTATGACTTTTCATATAAGGCAGGAGCAGTTCCTATATCCCTCTTTGTGCGGGCTATTTATCAGATTCCCCACCATGTTGAACAGAAAACAACCAAGCAAAATACAATGCACATGGGGGATTGTAGACTGGGTTCAAGTACTGGTGTCGGTTTAGTGTGGGTTGTTGAGCCCTGGATTGCTGTTGAAATGTGGGTTGTTTTCTTGTCTGAACCCAGCTGTGTGAACAATCCACAGTTTATTAACCACAAACAACCCATGGAGAGAAATCATTGTTTGTTATTGGGTTGTGTACTGTGGGTTGTTCATCACAGGGATTTTTTTAAATCTCAGCTGGGTTTAGACAACAGGATAAGCCATGTTTCAACAACAGTTGACATTCAGCCCTTGGGTGTAGATTATCCTATTATCTGAACAGTCAGAGGGTGGGGTTGTCTGGCTCTGAATCTTTCACTGGGCATTGGTTGATACCACTTAATTGCGGTCTACCAAATGATGGGCAACAGAAGGTGGGAAACGCCTCCATCGCATCCAGGCATGTTTGCATTCCTGCAAACACTTTGCATGTTACCTGCAGTGCTCCATTCACACATGCAAATCGGCCCTGGCTGTTGTAAGTCACCAGGCAACACACCTGTCCATGTGAACTCAACCTCCTGGATGACTCCATTGCCTGCGTAAATGAAGCTATGTGAGAAGGAACGACCCAGAGACCAGAGAAGTCCCAAATCAGCACAGGGCCGTCCTGCTTGCTGATTCAGAATCGCTCTTGGGCGAGCTGAATAAGCAAAGTTGCACTTCATGCGACTATGCACAATGATGGTAAAGAAAAATGCTTCTGTTTTAAGTGGGGAGGTGGAAAATAAGACTGTGATTGACGGAGATGAGTTATGGTAGCTGCTAGACTGCAGAGAGCAATGATTAGTCACGCTACGTCGGGCTGAAATAGATTTAACACCTGGCTGTTAAAAAGAGTAAATTGATTAATTGTTTTAAAGCAGCAATGTTATTGAGTTTCCCCAGTGTCTGTGTGTTTCTTAATAGAGATTAGACATTAATATGGATTTACAGCATCGACTCTGGGGACCTTCATTCCACCACCAGGCAGAAGCAAGAGACTGTATAAATGTAAAGGAAAATATAAGTATCCCAAATTTAATTTGATTCAGATCATTTTGCTTTAATCTTAACTTGTTGCATTATTAAACTCATTAATGTTGTTATTGTTGTTAATTTGCAGCTTCTGCAGCAAGCGACTTCCTCCAGTAACTTGGGTGCCTTCAGCGGCATTCAACAAATGGCTGGTGAGTTGCAGCTTTGCAGTTATCTGTTTCTCCGTCTTCCTCTTTGTCCCTTGAGCCCTGTTCTTGCAGGCTTGCAGAGTCATGGAACCAGTTCCATTAAGCATTTGGCTTTGCACCTGAGGTTATGCGAAGATGCACTGACTGGATCCTGCCCTAAAACAGATGTAAAAGGCTTCTCCCGATTATACCAAAGGCTGTTTGTTTCCAGGGTTGTAACTTAGAGTGTGAGATGGAGAATTTAAGGAACGGAATCAGAAACTTCATCTAACCTTCATGACTGTGAGGCCTATCCATGCATTCCTCTGATCTCTTTTTCAAGCCATCTAAGCAAGGGGGCCCAATGGCATCTGGTTTGTTCTCCCAAGGCCAAGGCCACCCCAGTTACCTGATTCTGGATTCTTTATGCTCCTTGATACTGCAACATCATCGGTTTTCAGCCCTGTGTACTCTTCTTTGGGATTTGCCTAGTAACTCCTAAAACTCAGTCCTTCACAGGTGCAACAAACAGTGACAGAGGCTCTGTTCAGTTTTTCCTCTGAGAAAGCAGAAGCTTTTTCTGTTTGAGAGTTGCCCGGCAGTGAGAGGCTTTAATGGGAATGCGCTCAAGAGATGCAATTGGCAATGAGTGGAAGAAAGAACTAAACTGCATTGAAATGACCAAAGCAGAACAGCAAGGAGAAAACCTGTTGCTCTTACATGTTAATTGGGCCACTGCCTAAGAGCATGTAAAGAGTATTTTGTGGTCTACAAGACTGAACAGACCCACTTCAATAGGATGGTTGCGGATATCTTTTTAAACTCAGTCCAGATAGGTTTAACTCAGAACTGAGTCCAGCTGAAGTAACTTCCTAGGTCTGCTGCATGCTTACATGGAAAGTTGGATTTCCAAAGGAGGCATATTCTCTGACCCTCCCATTTTGAGACCTGGGTTTGATGGAGTATCCCCTTGCCCATGACAAAGATACCTATCTGACATGCATATCTCTTGCATCCACACTTTGGGGTGTACACTTAAAATCTCTTCCATTGCTTTATGTATATATTTAAAAACAAAATGTGTTTTCTTTGGCTAGTCACTGTCCATGTCATTGCTTGTTAATGACTTCATTAATACAAATGCCAACATTAAAACACCATTTATAATTCTAGCGAGAAATGTGCATTCTACCCAATCGAACAAATGGTGGCCCTGGAGTATTTTAAACTGAGAAATCTTAGATATAAAAATGGTGTGGTGTGCCAAAGATCGTGCTTTTGATCTGGGTGCATTCCTTCCTTCTAGCAATGCTTGTTTCTATAGCTCAGTGCTTATTTCTAACCAGCAAAACATCGCCCATGTTACGAAGCCAGGTTTTGTCGCTGCTGCTGTTTACTTTAAAATTTGTAATTATTTGATGCAGGGCTGGGGGAGAGGGTTGGGGAGAAACGGAGGAGAAAGTTGAGAGTGAGCAAGGAAGCCAAAGGGAGAAGGCTCCTTTGGAAGGCAGCGAGTTGGACCACTCCGCCATAATGAGCCATATGCCAGGAGTGACTGATGTTCCGTGATTAATGAAAGGTCATTCCTGCTGTGTGACCCCACCATGCTGGTCTCTGCCTTAACACGATGCAAGCGACGGTGGCAAATCTAAACACAGATGCACATTATTCCTGTTGCACGGAACTGCCGAAAGCCTCGCCACGTCCGATTTTTTTTCTCATGAAAGCACAGCCCCCTCCCCTACCCCTGCGGTCATCCAATTGGCATGCGAGTTTATTTTTAATTATGCTTCGACTCCATCTGCAAATTAGTGGTGCTTTTCCCCAGCCTTGGAACACAAAAGGACTTAAGCTATCCATACGTTGCCCTTGTGTTTTCTTCTTTTTCTTATTAAAGCTTTGCTGCCGAATAGTTCTTGAAGTGGACCTATGAAAAAGGGATGAGAAACTCCCCATAGGCATTGCGTGCTTCATCTTTACAATATGCCATTTTTGTACTGGCACCAGACACTAATGCAGAACCTGCTGTCTGACAATATAAATTGGCCCACAGATGACAATATCTCTGAGTTATTTTCTCTGGCTCAGATCCATTGGCAAGCACTCGCAGCTTCTATTATGTTACTCTCATAATCTAGGAGGATTTTCCCCCCTCATCAAAAATATATCTTAATATGATAAACAACATTTTCACAGTTGGCACTTTTTGGTACCAGCTTCCAGCTTTAACGGCTGCTGGTAATCTCTTTCCTGAGTTAGCCCGACAGAGCAAAAGAAGGAATAAAGCAACCAAAGAGGGAAAGTGCATGGAGATATTTTTCTGTAAAGTACAAATAGAATTGTAATTTGTTGCTGGTAGCTTGCCTATTGAGGAAGGTGTCTGGGCCTGTGTCTAGGTCAAGGTCTAGGCCTAGGTCTGGGCCTGGGTCTAGGCCTAGTTCTAGTTCTGGGTCTGGGCCTGGGTCTAGGTCTAGGTCTAGGACTAGGCCTACGTCTTCCAATCCCTACGTCCTACTGCCATCTCTGCCAGCTGTCCACAAGGGATCCCTTGATAGTAGCTTGAATCTAGGCTTAGTCATACTAAGAGCAGAGCAATGAAATTCTGCAGGACTAAAGTTATAACTAACTTAAGCTCCCTTATTTTAAATGGGTCTACTGCAGGTATGACCAAGTCTGGATCCATTTCCAGTGTCCTCTGTGCCAGAAGAAAAAAATCAATTTTTTTCATTGTCAGATCCCATCTGTAGCCCCTACAACGAAACCCACGTTTTTAACTAGATATAATTCTCTTTTGTGACTTCTTCTGTATCATTCTTTCTGCACACACGTCTTCCTCCTTGCAGCTGAATAAGAACCCTATATCCCAAAGAGACATATTCATAAAGAGCTTCAGTTATCGGGCAGTTTGGAAACATTAAATAAATAATGCATAAAGAAGCCTGCTAAAAGAAGCACTTGAAATAGCTGCTTCCTATCTCTGGAATTCACTTCCCCAGAATACCCAACAAAATCAGAAAGCAGGCATTTCATCGCCCAGAGTTTTCTTACTGTAACCGTTTTTGTTGCTTTCCAACATGCTTGCTCCATGTTTTATGAGTCTCTGTAATTGCTAATTTGTATTTTTATATTTCATGGTCAGCCTGGCAATGCAAAGTAAGTTTTGGAAGGTTTTGGACATTCCACACTGGAGGGTGGATGGCAAGTGTTACTGAGGAAGCATTTCTAAAGGGATCTGGGGCTTCTCCGTTGTGTACTATCCTGCAAAGCTGACCATGTCATGTCGTAGAATCATGGAGCAGCAGAGTTGGAAGGGGCCAAGAAGGCCATCGGGTCCAACTTCCTGCTGTTACAGGCCACCAATTTGCACCGTCTCACCCAGATGGCTGCCCAGTTTCTTTCCGAAGGTCTCCAGTGTGGGAGAGCCCAGCACCTCTCCGGGCAGCTGTTCCCGCTGTTGTATTGCTCTGACAGTGAGGAAGAACAGTGTGTCCCACATGCTCCATGCTGACCATGCTGGGCTTCCTTCAGAGGCTGTAAAGACAATGGTCCCTTCACTAGGGCTGAGCTAAGGTTCCACCACCAAATCCTTCTGAAACTTTTCGCCACTTCAAGCGGCATGCTGGTCAGGCTTGCCCTGTATTTGAATGTAGGCCACGTCCACCCTTACATGAGGAATAGTTCTAGATCCTTGGATATTTAAAATAAATAAATATGCCTGGTCCATTTGTTTTCTCTTTTTTTTGACCATTTTTAAGAAGGAAAGACTTAAATAACGACTGGCTCATTTGAAAAAATAAAGCAAAATGTATTGCTTCCCTCCCCTCCTTAAATAACAATGAAATGCACAGAGGGGCAAGAGGCCCTCTTCACCACGACGTGAAAAGAAAAGAATTGAGAGTTGCTTTGCGGCTGGACAGCCTGGTGTCCCAGCTGGCGGCTCACAGCAGACTTTTCTTTGGGGAATTGTGGCAGGCGGCTTGGAAAGAGGGTAGAAATCTTTGTGGCAGGAAGGTTTGCCCTACAGGCGCCACGCACCATGTTGTGAGAAGGAAGCCTCAGATCTCCGGTGTACTGGCTTTTCAACAGGTCCGCAAATATGACTCCGCAGCGGTATTACACGGGTTTCCTGTGAACGAGCTAATAGGCCTTGCGAGAGGGTTTTGCATCCCTCCATCTGCCAGTTTTTAACAGGCCTGATTGGCACACGGATGTAACAACTGGCATCTGTTCTTGCTTATTGATATGTAGATTTATGGTAATTGCACTGAACAATGAGACTCAAAATTACCTAAGGTGAACATTAAATTAAATTTTCATGGCCCCTCTCCTTATAAATATGTTTTGTGGGGGTTTTTTTTAACCAAAAATAAAATTCTTACATTTCACGCAGGCATATTGTGCATCTGTTATGAATGTAATTTAATTGTATTTGTAATCTGCCAAGCAGTGAAATCAAAGACAGGACTCTTGCTGTCCAAAATATTAGCCAAATTTGATAACTTACTGGTTTATACTGAAAGCAGGGTCAAGTTCCATGTTCATTCATAATGTTTTCCCTTGCGAGAAAGATGAAGAATTATTTTTGTTCCCAGAGGAGGAAAATTTGGTAGAGGGGGTCCACCTCCTCCACCTCCTCCTCCTCCTCTTCCTTCTCTTCTTCGTCATACTCCATCTATTACTAATACTATTGCCTTTTATGCTTTAGAATTTAAGTGACTTTCAATTCTTCAGAGCGCTTTGACTTTACAGATTATTTAATGGTTTTAAAGACTATCATATTATTTTTCTGCCCAGTTCCCCATGGCAGGTAGGGGGAGAGAAAGCATCCTTTACAGTGTAAGAAGCATGGAATTCAGAAATGGAGGCAGCCCACAAAAAATGACAGTGCAGTTTCAAAAACCGCATTTCCTTAGAAGCTAGAAGCTAGTTCTCTTATTCCTTACCCCGCCACCCTTGCTTCTTTTCATTGGCTCTGGACTTGCTTTGAGACTATGACCACATTTTTCTCCGCAATCAAGACCGTCAGAATGGCCTTTTAAAAATCTAGCGGAAATTTCTATGGAATAGCATGATGTTGGGCGAATGGTGGCAGTGAAGATTTGACAGACTGTGTGTCTTGCCAGGGAGGCTGCAGTGCCTGGTTTCCTCCTCCTTGCAAATGTGAGGGGCCTTCAAGTTTTGAGGGGCCTTCGGAGCAGCAAGCTCCCAGGAGGGGCCGCTGCCTGAGTGGGCTCCCTGCAGGACATGACTGCCACTGCTGGCCAAGCCACTCGGTCCCCTGAGATGAGTGGCAGCGGCTGCTGCTGCTTCTCTGAGGGCTTGCTCACCCGGCAAGGGAGCTGAACTGGCAGTAGCCGGAAAGACCGGAATTGCCGAAAGGCCACCTGCAGGGCTCTGGGCCTTGACCAGCGCCTGACATTGCCACCTCCTGATTCCGGCACAGTCGCGTGCCCAGGGCCAAGGGTGGACAGGCACCCTAGGCGGAGATGTGGTGGGGAAACACCAAGACTGGCCCTCTGGAGAGCCCGCAGCGGACCGGGCTCAGAAGCAGAGATGGGCGGTGCTGGCGAGGGTTGCTTCGCTGCGGAACTAGTCCTCCGCTGAATCCTGATCCCCTGAGGCAGAGGGCTGCGGCACTTCTGCAGGAATGGCCTAGCCGGAGATGACCTAGCGTTTCCGCCTTCTGAACAGCACCTCCAGTGGTGCAGTGAGCAGGGGCTCTGTCCCTGACCCACAGGCGGCGATCCTGCCTTAGCCCATAGTTCCTAATGAGTTTGTTCGAAGTGCACCCTGGAGTAGAAGTTAGAAAGTGGGTTGTGTGTAAGAGTCGGGTGCCCAGAATCAAAGGACGCTGGCTATGAAGCTGGTGGGCCCACCTTCCTTGCTTCCACCTAGCATGAGGTGGACTGATTCCCCAACTGTCATGCCATTCAGCTGCAGTGGCCTTCTCTTCTGGGTGAGGAGGAGATCAAGTCCTGGGCACACAGCTTTCCTGGCAAGGTTTGCAGGTGGCAAGCAGGGCCAGCTGGCATGGCGGGAGGCTCAGCCTTGCCAAGCGGGGCACAGCAGGTCCGCGAGCTGCGTTATGCACAAAGGTTGCCCAAGTTAAGAAAAGGCCTTCTGGTTTATGCTTGACTTGAAGCCTGGAAAGAGAGGCGAGGCGTATCTGCCCCAGTGCTTCACAGCACTTTATGGTCTATTGAACACCTGTCTCATCAAATTATGTACAGGTATGAACTGATGAAGAACATGGAGCCCATAGGCTGGGCACTCCCTGGTTAGGGCCTTCAGCCCTGCCTCTCTGGTCCGTCTCATCGAAGGCACTATTTCTCTTTTCCTGCTAGAGCAGGGCTATTGTGTGGATCTTCGTATTTTAACTACTGGCAGGCAGCGCCCTTCAGAGCTACTACAGCCGTACTCAATCTAACCTATGAAACCTCCTCCATAGTCCCATTTTTCTAATGAGACCAATTCACAAAAGATATTGATAAAGATATGCAAACTCCTCCTTTCAATGGCTTTAATTTTACAAAAAGCTATAATTGCAATAAAACCACCCAGCTAAAATGCAGTCCTGTAAATCAGCCATGTGAAAGAAAAAGCACCCAGGAAGCAGCATAAAAGGAGTTTATGGAGGATTGAAAACCTGGACAAAATATATGGGCATTTCCCTGGTGCTGGAATGAAATCAGTATGACGTTGCCAGGGCGGGGGGGGGGGGGGCATTCCATTTCTGGGTGCCACAACCAGAGAGGACCTGTCTCCTCTAGCATCCCACTATTCCTGAGATGCTGAAGGCACCTAAGGTGTGCCTCTGGTGAGGATTTTGCTGTACAGGTAAGTGCATGTAGAAACAAACCACCCTCCATTATCCTGGTCTCAAGTCCTGGACTTTATCTGTGTTATTATTATTGAATTAATTTCTAACCCACCTTTCAGGTTACATTGCCTTCACAACATGGTTTCCAAGAGAAATTTTGAGGCACCTGAAATATCATTAGTAGCCAACCGATGCAGCAATCTATTGATATAATATTAAGCCTCTGAAGCTGTACTGAAACTAAGTACCGCAGAGACTGGTCGCAACGTGTTTGATGCCAGATTCTTTTCACAGTCCGCCTGCTAGCATCACATCCAACTTCCAAGTCTTTCCTGGGGACTAAAATTTTGCAGTTCCTCGTGTCTTGTACAATTGTACATTTAAAGTGAAATGCTGTTCAGATATTTAAACTACAGCGTGAGAACCTCTGATTTTAGCGGCAGGTCACTATTAATGTTTCCTGCCTCATCAATAGGCTAGAAACCTTGGCCAAAATATCAGGAAAAGCCTTTGGCTCCCCCCAGTGTCAAAGTCATTTCACGATACTTGACCAGGCTGTTGTGGATAATCTCTTCCCGGTGGACTCCCCCATCAAGTATTGTGTAGCAGATTTATCACCATACAAATCTAGTGTTGACCGACGCAGCTGGCTCTGATTTAGAGCAGAAGGAATTTTTCCAAAGGGCCTGTCCCTCCACTACAATACTCCACCAACCTGAGGAGTAGAATAAAAATAGAAATCAGGTTACCACTGGTCTTGTGTGATCACAAAGCTTTTTAGACTTCCCGTGTGGCATTGTCATGCCCCACTCTGGTATCTAACATACGCTTTGATGAGCAACTCTGATCTACTCAAGGATAGTTGTCCCTTGGTCCTCAACAGGGAGGGGGACCAAAGCGGAGGAGACAAGCTGTGATACAGCACCAGTGTGTGTACTTTCTGTGCATCGGGTCTCAAGCAGAAGCCTTGCCGTCTCTAGTCCAAGGAATCTCAGCCGGCAAGACGGGAAAAACCTACCAATGCTGGATGCTTAAGGAATTCATGCTTTGCAAATTTGGGTGGAAACTCGCCTTATCTGCCCCTTCGCCAAACTGATGTGAATCCTTCATCTTTCCCGATGCGCAAAATTTGAAATTCCGTTCTCGAATTACACACATACAAAATTGTACTTAAACATGCATGTTGTTAAAGTAGATTCTGTTTAGAAATTGAGGTAAAATGCAATTGCGCGTGTGTAATTTGTGAAGGAAATGTGCTAAAATACAGGTTTAAAGATAGATTTTTTTGGCAGTGTTTTTACATAATTGCAGATCCACGTGGAAAGCAGATGGGACAGACGTATGAATGTCACATTCAGAACTGATATGGATGGAACGTTGCTTGAGCCTCCATCCCTGCTGGAAACCCAGAAGGCTTCTGGGATGGGGTTCAGCTAGCAGAGGCAAAACGGCTTGCCTACAGCAGCTTTGTGTGGAGAAAGTTCAAAGCAAGCCAGCTGATGTGTCTCTGGGGAGATGGGGCGATAGGATCGGAGGGACCATCCTATCTATAGTCATTTAAAATAAAAAGATACTGTGATGTGGATCCTTGGAAACATGGGCGCTGCTGAACTGCTTTTTTTCTCTGCAGGAATGAGTGCTTTACAACTACAGAATCTGGCAACTTTGGCAGCTGCAGCCGCCGCAGCCCAAACCTCAGCCACTACCACCAATGCAAATCCTCTCTCCACAACAACCGGCGCACTTGGCGCACTCGCGAGTCCAGGTATGAACAAACGGGCATTCGTTGCTACACAGTGCCGTTGCTTGAAAGCGCAGTAACGAAGGCTGCTGGGCTAGGTTAACATAATGCAATAAGCCACCTCTGGTTTATAACCCACCATAGTGGATCCTGTTGTGTGAACACAGTGGGTAATCAAAACGACTCATAGCTGAGGATTGAATGGAATCCTAGGAAAGATGCGAACATGTTGCAGGGCTTGATTTTTTAAAAAATTGCTCAGTGTTCTCTGCCAGTGTAAAGAAATGCCCAGCGAAGAAGACAGCTGAGCTTTCCTTGTTTATTCCTCATTACAATTCTCGGAGTCCTAAAGAACCTCGTGGTCTCTCTTTGCTGGGACTGGTTTTGCAATGCTGTGCATTCTATTTCAATTTATTTTATGCTGTCTGTCTTGTTTCCCCTTCTTGATATCTCTCCCTAAAAAGATTTCTGTGGGGAAAAGCAGACAAGAGGTTGTTAAAAGAAATTGGGGTCAGATTGCCACACTGGCAAAAATCTTCATGTCTGCTCCAGGGCTCTTTGCAATTTCTAGGTGTTTCCAGTCAGTTTTTTCTTTCTTTTTCAATCCAATCAATGTGGCTGCTTCTTTAAGTTCTAACGTCTTGTAGGGACTGCAAACCACTCTTACTAGAACATCTGGTGATGCTGTGGTCAGTTTTTCAAAGGCCGCCTTTTAGATGATCAGAAAGGCATAGCCACACATTTTCGCCTATGTGGAGTTGCACATTTAAGGGACCATGCATTTGCATGCATGCAAGCATGCGTGTGTGCGAGGGTATAATGTGGATATTTATTTTCCGTATACCAGTATTATATTTTCCTTTATTTTCAATCTGTGCTGTTTTGTTCAACAGTTAGTGCAATATGTAACATCACATTCAGCAGGTTTTCGATTCCATGTCTGTGCCCAGTCTACATTTTAGCAGCGATGTCTGTACATGCTTTCCTCTCTCCCACATTGTATGGAAATCTGGTTCATTTCCATAAAAGGAAACTATTGCAAAACAGGCTGCATAAGCTTCAGCCATAAGAGGCTTTATATGGAAAGTCTTCTGAGAAGACTCTTCTTTGTATAAACACACACGTGCACAGAAGTGCAGCCAAGTTTCACCAGGGTCTCCCAAAATACATCTTCTGTAATGGTGAAGCGACCTTCCTCCCGCACCGTTCCTGAGGCAGGCTTAGTGGCTGCGCAGTATGTGTTTGTAGCAGTGTCCAATATCAAAGCAAAATCGAAGTTCGAAGGACTCCTTGTTTTGACAAAGCATGTCAAATGGCTTTAGTGGACTGAGAAGTGGATTTGGGGCTTCTGATTGGAGACCTGAAGCAGTAGCATTTGGACTAACTTGCCTCCCATGCAAAGGCATCCATCTTTCAGTTTGCTTGCGGAGGACAGACTTATAGAAGGACATAAATTCTAGTAAAACCATGCCGTGATTATGACCATTCAGAAATCACAGCTCTCATCTTTGCCATGGCAGTGATGCAGCTGATCGCAGAATTCACATGACCTTTGCATTCCAAAGATCCCTTTGTACGAACATGTACCCACAGCTGCTTAGAAGCCCATGGTGGCCACAGTCCTTTTCAGACCTTTTCAGATCATGTCCATTCACACAATTTCAGCCAGGTTGTGTGTCCACCGTCAGCCCCACTTCTGCTCTGAGTTGTTTCAGCTGGATGCAAAGGCAGCCTTTGCTTTAAGCCTGGTATTTGAAGCAAAAGTTATATTTGGGGGTCTTTACAGCCAATGCCCTTCCTGGCATAGCTTCTTTCTTTTGTGCACAACTTCAGCTCCATTGCAAACTTTTTAGGATTCTTGGCAGCTGTGCAAAAAAATCATGCTTGTTTTCTGTTTGTTGTGACGATGGGCGTGTGTGTTCCCTGCTGCAGTTTTGGCCACACTGACAAACAAAGGACCATGTCTCAAATGGGCTTTGGTAGCCGCTGCGAGAAGGAAGCTCCTTGTAGCCTTCCCTCCAGCCCGGCTCCCAACCTTTTCCCTTATCTTGCCACTCCAGGACTGGACAAATACTCCGTGACCAGCGGAGCTTGTTATTTTCAGATTTCAAATGCCTGGCACTGAAATTTATTTTCCGTGCCTTCTTACCTGCTCCCTGGCTGGCATCTCATAATCTTAATGTTATCTGGTGAATTGGATTCTAATTCTGGCCGTGAAAACGGAAAAGGGACACCAGCTGGTTCGGGGCCTGTTTTGGTACTGAATGTTGCTTAGGCATGGGAGCCAGGAGAAGAGGATGCGAGACGATGAGTCCACTTGATGAGGTTTTAGGCCGATCCAAGCAGGGAGCCAGAACATATTACAGGAGAGGCAGATGGGAGAACAAAAAGGGCCATATTGTAGCACACCCAAGGGGCTCTAACAGCCAAAGGGAGAGTTGGAATTGGCTTGCTGGAGTGTAGAAACCTGTTTTCCAGTATCTGCTCGGTACAGAGCTCACTTAATGGATTGGACCAGTGAATCTCTCATCCTACCTCACAACGTTATTGTAAGAACAGGATGCTGAGGAAATTATAAATGCATCTCTGAACTCCTCGTGTATCCTGGCCCACTACAGGTAGTAGGGATAGCAGTGATTGCTGCTGTTATTGCTATTGCGATTATTCCAGGGGCAATAGATTGAAACCATCTCAGTTGTGGAGCAATCCACCCCTAGCTTTTTACCCCTTCTTCCAGAAATCCAACCGTGTAGCGACAATAATGGGTCAACCTAAACAAACAAACAAACAAACAAACCTATTCCTTACATGCGCAAATCCTATTTTTTATGGTATCCTGGCCTTTCGCATCTTCGCATAGTCACTGGTCCCATAGAACGCAAGTGTTTATTTTCAGCACAACCCCTTCTGATCATAACCTGCCTCATAAAGGCAGAAGAATTTTGCCATTATGAAATTTGGAAGCTACTGCTCCAGTTAATTTAGCATTCTTCCTTAATGTGAAAACTTTGTCTGAGGAAAACAGCCCAAGGCAGCCCTAAACATTATTAAATTAATAATGTTAGTTTAATAATTAGTTTATTAAACCAATTAGTTTAAACTAACCATAAAAAATTTTTAAATTATGTTCAATAGCTAGAGCAGCCTGTCCCCAACTTGGTGGTCTTCAGAGGCATTTGGACCACAACTCCCAGAATTCCCATCCAGCATTGACTGAGAATTCTGGGTGTTGTAGTCCAAACATGTCTGGAAGGCACAAGGTTGGGGAAGGCTGAGCTAGAGAATAGCTTTGCAGCTTCGTTGTACATCATACAGAGGCCTGGAGTTATTAACTTTTATCAATCAGCTATAAAAACATGAAAGAGTACTGAAAAGAGCACAGTGCCATGGGATCAGGGGACAAAAACTCAAGGTATTTAGTTAAAAAGGACTTTTGTGAAAAGGAGTCTATTCTTTAGAGCAACGGTCCATCTAGTCCAGCCATGGTGTCTCTCGGAAGCCCCTAGACATCAAACAGGACATGATGTCCATGTAAAAATGGCCCACGGATACATTCAGTAATTCCGTTACCTTTGTGTGGCCACGTCCAAGATCCTGGATGCTCATCACCATTGTCATGTGGATATCATGTAATCTAGGTTCTATTCTGGAGAATTCTGAGGTCTTCTCCAGAAAAAAAGGAAGATGGGAAACTCCTGAAGCCCTCTGGCCACTTTCGACTGTCCATTGTTCGCCTGTGTCCTAGAAGCTGAGTAGCAGCAGTAATTACCTGTTCATACAGGTAAAATCCCTCTGTCAACATCCAACTTCTCTGGGGGAGCCTGTCAAACTGAGTGTAACATGTAGCCAGGTTATAAAGGGAGGGCAGATCTAGACAAGGCAGCCGCTGTCAGAGAGTGGGCTGGTTCAAAGCTGTTTGGGGCAGTACAGTTTCCTTGCTTTATGGCAAGGTGCCCTCACAGCTCCAGACCATATTGCAAGGGTTTCTGGAATATTCACGCAAGTTAGTCCCCGCCAGTCTCAAAGCACTGAGTTCCTTCATTCCTGTGCCATTTCCAACATGCAGAGAGTGAATTATGCCATCCCAGGAAGCTGCTTAGTCTGTATGCTCAACCTGGTTTTGATCCAGGCATTTGTCCTTTATAGGTGTGGTAGTGATAGGGAAACTGTACCAGCAATGGCCCAATTTCAATTTTGATCTTGTTATCAAGCGAAAACACCAGTTTAATTGTCTCGTTTCTCCACGCAAACTCTGCAACTAACCCAGAAACAATCCTTGTTGAGATGTTCTTTGATTTCAACTTCCTTATCTGACTCTACATTTTCCACTCCATTAAATACTTTGTAAACCTGAATAAAAGCTTTTCCTGGTTGTTCTCCGCTCTGTGGAATGTGCATTTAGGTCTTTAAACCCTCATGTATCGTCTCGAAAGCATTTCCATTAAGGCACGAATTATAACGGAGCATTTATATTTGCTTTTCATGGGTGAGGAAGGAATATCGCTTTTAATTTATTTATTTGCTTTCTTAGTTTTGTTTTTTCCCCCTTTTTTGTCCCTGTTTCCCCCCCTACCATCACTAGATAACTCATGGGGCATTGAATCATTTTGATTTAACATCGCATTGGCTTGCATCTAAAGAACATTTCTTTTCTCATTTTATTACAAAGCGGCAATGCACATGAGGGGAAAGCACTGTTGGAATGTCTAACGACATAAAACAAACAGTGATTAATGTATATATAAAATTAAAATGTAGCTTTATAGGTTTTGCTGGTGTTGATGATCGTGGTGAGACTTGGAAAGGGGTGCAGGGAAAGGGAACACGTACCCGCTGAACGCCCACTCACATTTCTTCATTGGACACTCTGTTGTGGTACGCATAGACATGGACCCAATTGGCTTCTGGGTTCTTCTGAAAGTCCAGCTTGTATACATGCGCAGTGGGGGGCGAATAGCATCATTTCCCACTGCAGGGGCCTTCCTCTCCCATTCCCCAAGTGACATCCCACAGGAATCGTGATC